CCGATGCATGGAAATTTTTTCAAAAGCTTTAACCAAACAAGAAAATCTAAAAAAGACACAATCAGATGCATGGGTAAATTCTACAAGAAAACACCCTTAAACCTTTTTTTATCCACCTGTTAATCGATGGAATCTAGCAAATCGATGGAATCGGGATAATCAGGCCGTTTCGATGAATATTTTTTTAATCAAAAGCTGCTTTTTCTACTGCATACTAGCAGATATCTGTTTTTATAAAAAATAAAAGCCATAAAAAAGTCAAAATCTTTTTAAAATCCAATTTTTTTTAAAATATTTAAATAACTTTACCCATATAAATATGGATAAAGGATTTCTCCAGCAATAAGTTATTTCCGGTGAATCCAAACCGATATTATTTTGGAACAAAAATTAAGATATTTTTATAATTCTAATATATTGCAAGATTATATTAATCCTTGTCATTATAATTCTTTAATCTTACAACCCAAAACGATGTCATTTTGAACTTATAGTTTATCCAGTGACTGGAGAAATACTTTTTCCTATTAATATTATTTCTAAAATAAGCAAAATATAACTTTTTAAGTAAATACCCTTTTTGGTTTTCAGCAAATTTCACGATGCCCGCTTTAGTTCCTAGTAAAAAAAAAGCTATTTGTTGTTCCTAAGAAATTCAAAATAGACTCATTTAGTTGAAATCATGGTCCCTTTCAAATTTTGAAAAGATCCACATTAGTCCGTCAAAATGACTAAAATGGATCCACTTTGAATTTTTTTAGAGACCATAAATAACCTTTTTATTTGCTAGAGACTAAAGTGAACATCGTAAAATTTGTTGAGGACCAGGCCTGTTTGATTGTGTTTTGTGTTTTTTGCTCTTAAAACTGTTTTGTAGAATATTTTTAAAAACTGATTTTTAGAATAAAAGAAGAAGAAAATCTGTTTGGTAAACTTGTTTTGAAAATAATTTTAAAAGTTAAAAAACAAAAAAATCTGTTTGGTAAATTTGTTCTAAGAACATGTTTTTAAAACAAAAAATAAAAAAACTCGTTTGATTGATTTTTTTTTTAACTTACTTTAAAATAATTTCTTTAATTATAAGTAAAAATTTAGATATATTTTTGACATCAAAATAAATTATATTACAAATCTTTTTTAAGACCAATGCAAATCATATTGCAAGTTTATTATAACACTTCGCAATTCTAAATCAAATATTAAAATATTAAATGAGAATTAAAGGGAAGGATTAGTGAAAATCCTGAAAAATAGGCCAAAATACAAAGAAAGGGCAAAACGGTAATTAGCCAACACGCAACCCTAGACAGATAAAAATTGAGTAGAAGGTCTCAGATGATAAAAATAACCCTGAAAATGGATTCCACAAAGAAAAATCGAGTGGATAGGCAAGTTTCAAAAAATTTGATGAATAGTGATTTTTTCGGTGTAAAATACTGCGGTATAATTGTACTGATAAACGTGAAAATATAATCAGTATTTTTAGGAAGTAAAAATATGACGTGGACGAGAAAAATACGTAAGTTATGAATTAGTGATTTAAATTAGGTGATTGATTAAAGTTAAATCACATGTGGAACCCACCTCACTTAAGTGGACCTTGCCACCTGGACAACACCACAAATCTGATTTTTCTGTCTCCTCCTTCCTCCTCCAAACCGTGCTTGCCTTCCATGGAAGAAGAGATTTGCTTCCAAAATTTCTTTTCCTCGTAACTCCTTCAATACACCTCCGAATCAAGAAAAGTTTGTGAGCAAAGTTGTTGGAAATCATCATCCGAACACAACCCACCGATTAGTTTCCCTTGAAATTCTCTCATTTTTGAGAAAAGGGCCAAAACCAGCCACGAAAATTGGAGGGATTTTTGTGATATTGAAGTTGTGTGTTCAAGCCATTGCTTGGAGATCACTTGGAGGGGTCCTAGGCCAAGCTTGTGAGTATATTTCAACACCTCTCATGGATCAATTTGATGATTTATTTTCATGAACCCTAAAGAGGGCTTGGTTGATTGATGTGTTTAAAGAGCTCAAATCGAAAATGTTTGTACATGAATGTGTCTTAGAATGATGTGTAGTATCCATAAATGCAATAAAAATTATTGATGAAAAATGTGAATTTTTTTAGAAAAGTTTTAGGAAGTCAAGACTTTGAGTTTTGGAAATGTGTTAGGATTGGATTGATGAGTTGTGGCGTGATTGTAGGTTGATATAATGGGATTGTATGATGTGTGAAGTGGTTAAAATTGGATTGAAAATCTCTTGGAATTGCCTTGGTGCAATTCGGCAATGTAGAGGAAAAAGTGGGGAGATTGTGTTGAAAAATTATTTGAAAGATGTGTTGTGTAATTAAATGGAAATTAGATGGATTGTGTGGTGGTTGGAAGGTTGGAAAATCAACGGAAAAATAATTGGTAGTGTTTAGTGTTAAATTATACATAGAGCAAAATATTAAGCAAAACGACGTTTAAAAGACGTAAAGTGAAAAACGACACTTGATATGGCCTTTCGGCAACCAAAGGATGCCTAAGAAAATGAGAAAGAAAAGTTAGAAAAATAAAATGCAAATTTACACTACTTTGGCCAAACCTACAAGGGTGTAGGGGTGGTTTTGATGTTTTTTGTGTTCTGATAGAATTGTCGTGTACTGATGATTCGTACATGGTTGTTGTAGGTTGCCGTACGTTGATTTGAACCCCGAACCGTGAGTCGGTGGATTGCCATTGGTCCTGGACCAAGTGGGATTGAGGTAAGTGATTGGAACAATGCTTGAATAATTGTTAACTTGCATGTGTTCGTATGAGTTTTAAGTAATTGAGAATGTCCTCTGTGTAGGCATTTCTGTTTAGTAACGAGCTCAGAGAATATACTGTTTTGGAGCTAAGTGGAGAGGCTTATTAAGGTAACCTCTTGGTACTGGGGCTTGATCCCCTTGTGTGTTCCACCATGCCCGTTGAGGGTGATGGTAGGAAATGTATGTAAGTAATGTAGAACAGCATGATCATGCATATAGTATGTATGTTGGTACATAGGTACCGAGTCTTTGGCCAGTAGACAGTTTGCCTTCGGGCGTTTCGGACTTCCACTGGATAGGTCTCCGAGAGGGAGTTCCAGTTGACCCAGGGTCGTAGTGTGTTATCCGGATAAGAGCACACTAGGAAGTCTCAGGTGTATGCGGATGGGAGGGGTACCTTGGTTGGATGTTCTTGGAACACGCCTTGGATGAGACCCGTAGGCTTATATGCCAAGCCATTAGGCAGGGCGTTGCGTGATATTAGTAGCTACCATTCCAGCTTCGTCGTATTTTATATTCCTATGATCCCCAGTTTCTCTAAATCCCTTGCTTTATCCCGTTTTTCAAGATGTTGTTTTATATTATTTATATGCATCGAAGTGAGCCATTGGGCGGAGTATTCTCCAGAACCTCTGGGTTACTGAGATATATTCGTATATCTCACCCCGTCTTGGGGGCATTATTTCAGGAGGTAGCAGTGGCACAGGAGCGGCGGGCAAGAAGCCCGTAGGATGAGTCGTGGGAGGACTTTATGCTTTTGCATTTTGATGGCCATTGGGCCTAGACTAGATTTAGGGCATGAACATGGTATTTATTTATAGGATGAGTTTATGTCCATATTTGTTCATGCTATTTTGCCTAAGTCTAGATACAAGTATTTTATAGCATTTGGAGATTTATGAATTATGTTGTAATTGGATAATTGTAAAGATTGTATTTGGACCTTATGTAATTTGAAGCATGTGTAATACGATGAAAGGGCAATAGGCCTATTTTAAGATTACGATTATATGTATGTTTAGAAAATGCATGTAAATGGACATTGGTGATTAAAATAAGTTAAGGAAAAATAAAGTGAGCAATAGGGTATGAATTGTGTAATAACTATAAACTGAGTTGGGTTGTAAGTGCCCCAAGACATTGTTGGTCCTTGTGTGTGCCACCCATTGTTTATTAGGTACATTTGAGATATTAGAAAGCATTTGCAAACTTGGGGATTTTTGTAAAAACAAAGGAAACTCTAGCGAATTTTCTGTAGAATTGGCAGAATTTAGGCAAATTTCGGGAGAGCGTATCTCCCTCCACAGAGATCTGATAGGGACGTGTCATACGCCATTTTAAAGCTTGATATGTCCTCTACATTGTGTTAAAATTTGAGAACTTTCTGGGTTGCACTCAGCCCTGTAGAAGCCTGTGAACACGGACTGTCCAGAACGCACCTGTGCAGGGGCTGTTTCTGGCAGTTTTTGGGAAATTAATTCCCGCTTCGTTTCTCAGTCAAATTAAGTTTATGATATGTCAAATTGAAGGTTGAGGTGTCTAGTTTGTTGTATAAAAGTTTTAGAGCAATTGGTTGAGTGGATTTTCTGCAGTAATTCGTGGAGTGAGGGATGTTTGAAGCTGTTTTGGGGTTGGTTAGCAGTTTCGATTGTCCAACTTCAAACGGCGATATCCGGAGCAAATAAGCTCTAAATAAAACGTGTGATAACTTTTTAGAGAGGTAATTGAGTGTAGAATAACATGTCAAAAGATGAGACGAACACGAAGAAAATTGAGAGAATGTAAATGAATATACCGAACCATGTTCGAATAGGTAGAAAACGTAAAAGTGAGAAATTAGCTAAGTGAGTTTATGAGAACCCCTTAGTGATTTGTATTAAGTAAAATAAGATATAAAAATAGTTTAAACAAGTATTCCGCAAGAGTTTACAGTTATGGTCACAGCTTTTATTTATTACGCTTTTTACGATTTTAAATGCTCGCGTAATAAACAGAAAAAGTTTACTCGCATTTTTATAAATGAATTGCTGTGATTGTAACTGCGCTTAATATCATAATTAATGTTAACAATACCTGTGTACAACGGGCTGTTACATTTATCATTTTAAGATCCATAAGATTACTATATAAGTTGTTATCTGCCAATTTATAATAATTGTAACGAACCAAAGTTAATCAAGTAAACGATGAATATCTTAATAAACAACACATATACAAACATAAAATAAGGTTTAATGTACTAATAATCAACACATACAAACATCTAGTCACTTGAAAATTGATTATCCAAAAGTAAAGCCTATTATTTAACAAATCAAATCAGATAATCTAAACTGAAGAGTTGTTATGTTGTGCCCACATCCAATTTGCTATATGATTACAGTATGCTGCCATTTCAGTTGCACCTTCATAAGATAATCTTGATAAGTTATCATCATTGAAACTTGCCTCCTCAATGTTAGAAATCTCATTCATAACCTCTATTTCTGCAGGATCCATGTCTTCCCACATTCTAAACAAATCATCACGTAAATTCCACTTGCGTATGTAATTATGAATAGCACAACACGCTATCACTATGAGTCGCTGCCTAGAAGGTTTATATGGAGGCATTAACTTCAAAATAGGAAATCTGTTCTTCAAGACTCCAAAGCATCGCTCAATTGTCATTCTTAAAGATGAATGCCGATAATTGAATATCTCCTCACGACTTCTTGGTTGTCTACCTCGACCATTGTATTCTTGTGCGTGATATATTTCGCCTCTAAAAGGGGGAAGGAAACCTCCTGTGCAAGGATAGCCGGAATCCACAAGATAGAACATACCTACATCAATGGAGTACACATTAACATTGAATATAAATTATTTACTTCATTAACAAAAGACAAATTCAACAATATAATATTCACCTCTAGATGGCCATGGAAATTGTGCATTTGGATTGGTTAATGAATCAACGAAAACTTTTGCATCGTGTGCACTTCCTTCCCACCCCGAATACACATATGTGAAATACATATTGAAATCACAGATACACATGACATTTTGTGTGACAATTGTCTTTCTACCTCTACATGATGTTTGTTTCTTAGCGGGAACCCATGCACTTATATGTGTGCCATCAATTGCATCTAAACAATTTTATAGTCGCAAGAATCCAAATAAAAACAATTAAAAATTAGATAAAAAAATAAAAGAAAACATGAATAAATATCGTAAGCAATAAAGTTACATACCTTGAACCAAGGATAATATATTGGATTATTTTTTATTCTGTCAGGCAATTCTTTAGACTCTTGTTTTATCAGCTCTTTTCCCAATCGGCATACTACTCTTAATACCTCCTTAAAATAACGAGAGACTGTTTCTGTAGAATGCTGAAAGCGATCTGAAACCACTCTATGGCGAACATTATGCCCAATTATGAATAAAAACATAGCAACTTTTTCTTCCACAAGCACATCCCTTGAGTCACTTAAGTAACTTTTTCCCCTCAATTCATTGCAAAAATTAGTAAAACATGTTTTTTCCATTCGAAATAACTCGAAACAAACTGTTCCAGATCCATTTAATATCTCAGTAACAAAGTCTCGACCAGTTAATATAGATGTTCGAACCTTAGTTTTATTTAAAAATTTCTTATTATAATCACAAACCATATCAATGATGCATAGCTCAACTAATTCATCATCACTCGAATCTAATGCAGATTCATCAAAGCTACAAACAGCATTTTCTGATGTAGAATTATCAATATCCATGAGAGCAACAACCTGTCATATAATTCAACAAAAGAATACTAAGATTGTTAGAAAAAAAGTATCTACACTTCCTAATTAATACAAACACAAGTTATTTTTCAGTTCTTAACTGTATTAGTCTGCTCTAACAATTTAATTTGCAGATCTTGAGGTTAGAGTTTTCCCATTATGACTACAATAAAAAAGGAAGAATTTCAGCCAAAGATTTTGCCCTGTCCTTCGTTACATCAACAGACATCAATCACATAAACAAACTGTTGGATAGGGTGGACGAATTAAACAGTGACCCACAACTGAGAGACATTAGAATTACATTCGAGGAGTTCCAAGCTTTCTCAGAATTGCGCAAGAAGTTGCAATCCTTCTCTTTGGCCATATTCAGTTATGGAAAAGTTAATGGGGTGTTGACAAAAACTGATTTTCAAAGAGCAGCATCTCAAGTACTAATACCTCCCAATGCCAAAAAAAATAAATGTACAGTAAGCTATTGACCAATTATAATTCATGAATAACATTTTATGTTGTGTTCATGCAGGTATGTGGCATTTCTATTACAGATAAAGTGGTTGACATAATTTTTCACGTGTTTGATGCTAACTGTGATGGAAACTTAAGTTCAAGCGAGTTTGTGAGAGTTATACAAAGAAGAGAAAACAATTCGTCATGTGTTGGATTAGGGGGTTTGTTATCTTGCTGGTTGAACTGTGTAAACTGTTCATCATCTAAGCTTCAATTTTGATTGAGTCCGTTCATAAGCATATATCTTCACCTCTCAGAAACTAAAAGGGAGGGTGAGATATGCATCTTATATCTACTGTAATGAATTCAACCACATGTAGCATCACTAGGGAAAATGACAGAAGATTCATTGCCGTAGCAAGGTAAATTTTCTATGACAATGTTATAGCAAATTTAATTAGAATAACCCTAAAGGCATATCCTAAAATTAGAATAGCCATGATAGCTCATATAATCAACCACATAGGCTGTATATTTTAATTTTACTACATATAGCATATACTCATTAATAATGTACCCATCATTCATACTAATTACCTATAGGAATTCTCTTAATATAGTAACCATAGTTACATCCAAACCGTATGGAACATAAACAGGGCAATGGCTGAAAACATCCATATAGATAATGGGGGTATGAAGTTGAACAATGGAAGTGCAATCATATGAATTCCCTACCCAATTTACTGAAAAATCAGCGTGCCCCACTAACCCATAAGAAGAAATTGCATGCTACAAGATGTAAAATATATTAATAATCCCCTCCCCCCAACCAAAAAAAAGAAAAAAAAAAGAAAAAAAAAAACTGGTGAAATCTTAATAGAATTAGGTTAATGAAAGGAAAAAAAAATTATTTTTTCTTAAATGGTTGTTATTAACAACAAAAAATTCAAACTTCTCCAGAAAATTCAACACAAACCTATGAATCAATCAAGTAAATGTAACCACGGGACTAAGAGAGAGAGAAAAGCACTTACCAGAGAAGAGAGATGTGTGAGTGAGGTTGCTTTTCCTTAGAGGAGTGGGATTGTTGTTCAATAGCTGCAACTATGCAATATTCACAACACAAACACTGGTTCCGGTTTCGTCGCGGACATTGCAGTTGGCGATGTGAGAGGGGCGAGCTGCTATCATCGACGACCAATAAAGAAAATAAACAAAAAAAAATGAGACGAAGAAGAACAAGCAAAAACCAAAATAAAAGACAATAAAGAAAAAGTTCAAACCCAAGATGAAATAGAAATCTAAGGTGTGAAGATGAGACTGAGATGCGTGCAGGTGGAAGGAGGATTGGGTGTTCACTGTTTAAGATGAGATGAGACTGAGATGCAGATGAGATACAAGATGGAAGAGTCCAAAGAGTAAAGGATTTTTAATGTATAATAAGAGGAAGGATCATTTGACACCGGTGTCAAATTTGAAGTTTAACACCTCAGAGCCGTTAGATCAAAAAAGATCAATGGTATTATATGTTTACAAATCAGAGTTGTTGATCTTTTTTGATCTAACGACTCTCAGATAAAGTGTCAAACTTCAAATTTGACACTGGTGTCAAAGAATCCTACCTCGTATAATTATTTACAATCTTGTCATTAATGAGAATTGGATTTTCTCCGTGTTTTTTTGTTGGTTTGAGAAGAAAGAATAGAAAACTAGAAAAAAACACCTAAAATGTGTTCTGTAAATTCTATTTTAAAAACAAAAGAAAAAAACCTGTTTTTTAGATTTTTTTACAAAACATCAAGTATCAAACATATTTTTTTGTTTTTAAAAAAAAAAAAACAGTTTTGTAAAACACAAATCAAACAGACCCTATTAATTTTTTTTTTCGTAAGTCCATCCGTTCGCCCTAAAACGCTCTTTACTAATTTTTTACATAGCTGCATATCCGAGACCGCCTTTAACTATTTTTTCTATTAAAAAAAATTGAACTCTTTCCCCTCACTATTTTACCGTCTCTTCAACAAAACAGTGCTGTGTCTTCCTCACCTATTCGTCCTCATATTCCTCCACCGTCGCCTCCGTCTACGTTTTCTTCCTCCGCCACCGTTGCATCTGAGCAATCCATATAACTTATGTATGCCGTAGCTCCTCTCAGTCGCTTAATTTCTCGCATATTTTCAATTCCTTACTATTGCAGAGAACCTTGCTTCTCCTAAAACCAGTTGAAAAAATGAAACCACCTTAACCTGTTGTTGTTCTTACTTTGGTGCTTTATGGGCTTTTTTTGTGTACTGCTTGTTTGTTCATTAGATAAGCGTGAGTCATGTGTATGCATAAATTGCACGCTAGGTGTTTGATAAAATTGATGGTTCAGATGCATCCCTGTTTAAAGAGTGTGTGCTATTGCTTTCTCATGTTCCTCAGTTTCGCTCCGATGTTTAAGTCAATCTTTGGTGTTTAAAGAATTATTTGAGTCCTATATTACAGACTTTATGGTTAAGTTATATTATACACTTACAATGTGAAATTCTAACATAACATCTTCATGCTTCAGCAATCAGCACTCTAACTCTTTCTCTATATCGCCAAGTTCAGTTCCAACCTTTGGGAGCAATGAGAAGACCCAAATCGAAGGACTTTCGGAAGCAACAACGAGTCTCAGAAGAGAACGAGATAAAATTGTTGGACTCATGGATCCAAAATCAGCAACCAGAATCGGGTTCCAACCCTATATCGCTTCCTCCTCTCCCCAAAAATGCCCCTGTTGGGCGCTTCGATGACAACAGCTTCTCGCGCTATGCGGGTGTGGCGAGGTTTGAGCAGTTGCCACTCTCCAAGAAAACCAAGGATGGCTTGCGAGAAGTCAAGTTTGTCACCATGACCGATATTCAGAGGGCTTCTCTTCCTCATGCACTTTGTGGCCGTGATATTCTTGGTGCTGCCAAAACTGGGTCTGGAAAAACCCTTGCTTTCATTATCCCGGTGAGTGCTTCACTTCAAAACTGGGTCTGATAACGTTTTGTTTTTTTTTGTTTTTTTGGTTGCTTCGTATAGTGAAGGAAGAAGGATCCACTAATATTGAATTATTATTGGGGGGTTTTTTGGGGTTTGATTAACGGTGGATTGTGACTGATAGGTGTTGGAAAAATTACATAGAGAGAGATGGGGCCCTGAAGATGGGGTTGGCAGCATCATCATATCCCCTACAAGAGAATTAGCTGGCCAGCTATTTGATGTGTTGAAGTCCATTGGCAAGTACCATAATATTAGTGCTGGCCTGCTTATTGGTGGTCGCAAGGATGTTGACATGGAGAAAGAACGTGTCAATGAGCTCAACATATTGATCTGCACACCCGGTCGCCTTCTACAACACATGGATGAAACTCCCAATTTTGATTGTTCACAGATGCAGGTCAATATAATCTTCCTTTTTTTTTTTTTCGTAAATGTAGAATAGATAAACCTCAATCTGACTTTGAAATGAGAATTAAAATTAAGTAATTTTATTTACTCAAGCTCTGCTTCCTTATAATACTTTGGTATGCCAACCTGGCTGGCTGCTGGCGTCCTGGACAACCTTCAGAAAATTTTGCTTACTTTTTAAAAACTACCTAGGTGATTTAGTTAGTGGTTGAAGTAGAGTATTTATGCATTAAGTTTACATATTGTTTAGTCCTTGGAAAGCATGAAATATTAATTTTATCTTCCAAAGCATAAATACCTTTTTTTTTTTTTCGGGAAAATCCAATCATAAATATGTATCATTAAATATTTTCTAGATATAGCTAATGATTGGGTGGGCTTTCTGGATACAGATTTTGGTACTAGATGAGGCTGATCGTATTCTTGACAGTGGATTCAAGAAGGAACTAAATGCAATCATCTCTCAACTACCAAAGCGTAGACAAACCTTGCTTTTCTCAGCAACTCAAACGAAGTCAATTCAAGATCTTGCAAGACTTAGTTTGAAGGATCCAGAGTATCTGAGCGTACATGAAGAGTCTGTGACTGCCACTCCTACTCTATTGAAGCAAATTGTGATGATTGTTCCTCTGGATCAAAAGTTAGACATGCTGTGGAGTTTCATAAAGACACATCTTCAGTCAAAAACACTTGTCTTTCTTTCTAGCTGTAAACAGGTAATTCCACTTTTCTGTCCTGTCTCAAGAAATTCTTTTACTTGAAGGAAGTCTTATGTTATAGGCTTGTATTATAATTTTACTGTTATGCCACCTGAAATGTTTTTCCCATTGGTGGTTAGCCAATGCATGTCTAGTCATAATTTTCAAGAATTTTTGTGCAGTCCAAGGAAATGGAATTTTATTTTTTTTGATTATTGAAACTTGAGAGTTGTCTAATTAGTTTGATATTGAATGCCTAAGTAAATAATTGCTTTATTGTATTTGTAACTGCAGATTTAGTCTGCATGTGATAGGGCCGGAGAGTAGTTAGTTAGAATAGTTGTATTTGGGTGGTTAAAGTTGTTACCCCTAGGGAATTAGCTTAAATAGGAAGAGATGGTACAAGAGGGGGCATTCTGATTTGCTATAAATTTGGAACTAAGCATTAGCTCTATTGTAGAAAGAGGAAACACTTGGAAGGAGAATTCTCTAGTCAGGTCTCTGTTTGTAGTTCCATAAACACTACGGAAGTATTCTTTCTCTTTTCATTTCTCTGTTTTTCTCATCTATCTCTCTAAATGCTCAGAATCTGTTTCTAGGCTCCTAATAATTTGGTCCAACCTATTGGGTCTCTTATTGGGATATAGCATGAATGGGGATTCGGTGGTGTTCTTGAAGAAGGTGATCAGCTATCATGAATTATAGCCTCTTTCTAAGCTTAACCAGAAGCTGCATTGGTCAATGAAGAGACAGGGCATTAGTCTTGGGTTAGAGGAAGATTACAAACAATCCATTCAAGAAGAGTTGACTTCGCAGCCAAATACACAGGGAACAGAAACACCACAGGGCAACAATTTAGAGAAATTTTTTGGGCTGTTTGTAAGTAGGATAGATAAAAAATCTGAGGGCAATGATAGGGTCATTAAGGAAAAGGGAGTCATAGAGGATTTGTGGATAATGAAGATAATAGAATACCAAGACATGGAGATTAGAGAGAGAAACACTCTGATGTGAGTCTGTTACGGTTAAGCCAAGTAACAAATTGGGAGGATGTATTATGAGTCAACAGGTGGTTGGTAGAGTATATTCTAGAAATGGGGCTCAACAGAATTCTGTTAGGGGCTTGGAATGTGATGGAAAGAATGGAGGATAAGTAGAGACAGCATGGAAGGGTCTGGGTATCTGGAATTCTGGGATTGGCTAGGCTTGAGAGAGATTCTAAACCTCTTGACTTTTTACCTCTTTTCCCGCAATTTCTTGCATTTTCCTTTTTGCCTTTTCTATGTCACTGTAGCAGAGGGTCAATATTGTCATTTGAGTCTATTTCCTCACTTTTCCTTTTGTTGATTGGATACTTTATATGGAGTACTTGAGAGTGAGACCACTGTTACACTTTTCGGAGGTAAATACGCTCATTTTTCTCTTTCTCGTGTGAGCAAACGTATCAAGTGGTATCAAATTGATACAACCCATTCCAGTAACAGTAAAATTACAAAAAAGAAAGAGCAATGAATTCTGAGAAAGTTTCCAACATCTATTACTGAAATATTTCTCAGGAGTACAAGAAAGAAATTGGTTCAGCCAATAACAAGGAATTCAACATAGTTGCATCTGCTAAACTAAAATCCAATGGAACAAACATGATTGAAGACTACAATGAAGTAAAGACAGAAACGATAATGAATAGTAATTTGAGAGGCTCTTCACTCTTCCTATCCCAATGACTCACACTAGATTCCAGATGCCTAGACCCTTCCATGCTGTCTCTACTTATCCTCCATTCTTCCCGTCACATTCCAAGCCTTTAATAGAATCTTGTTGAGCCCTTTTTCTAGAATATTCTCTGCCAACAGGATACCTGCTGACTCATAATATATCCTCCCAATCTGTTACTTGGCTTAACTGTAACAATACTCTCTCCCAAAACTTTCACCTTGTCCTCAAGGTGAGTTTCAGCCCTCGAGAACCTTATGTCACGATCCCATTACTTGAATTGTATGGATCCACATATGCAACAAACATGATAATTTCCAGTGGGATCCCACTCCTCTTGAGCTTCCCGCCTAGTGGATCCCCTCAGTTCTGATGACTTCTTTTCAGCCTTGGTAAGCTTTTCTTCCTTCCTCTTTTGCACCTTTTCTTTAATCTCCTTGTTCCTCGACTCAACCAAGACCTCCACATTCTTTAATTTTTTATTCAATTCAGAAATTTTATCTTTCAAGTCAGACCTGTACAGTGATAAAGCAGCCAAAGAATCTACTCCCTTGTTATGTCCAATAAGCAAAACATGTTTATTCAAATCTCCCATCAGTAGATTTGAAACCATAGTTTTAATGTCACCACCCGAGAGAAGTTTGCTCAATTTATCACACCAAATTACCATAATCTCATCTAAATTAGAATCATCAAGTGGAATTAATGAAATACGCAATCCAGTATGACCTAGTGCTTGCATTGCAATAGTTGTCAGTGTAGAAGTTTTAGAATTAACCACATCAACCAGGCATCTAAGTGTATTTCGGAGCAATATTTCTTGCATTGAAGCTATTCTAGACAAATAATCTGCTATTACATATCCTATAGCACATGTTGAGGCACAAACCTTGATTTATGCATTTGAGTGGAGGTGGCAGTGATGCCGCATTTGGACATTCTGTCCTACTCCATTCTGTTTTTGGTGGCAGTTCACAGCACAAATCAAGATGATTAGGGTATGTGATGGGGTAAAAAAATGGGTCAATGGATCCCAGATTAACCTAGCGAGCTGGATTACGAGTCCAAGCACTCGGACAATCTGATTTATGATGACCTCAATTGTGTCGATCCCTAAACATTTAGGCCCACTTAACCCAGTCCATTTTATGGGTTCACTTAATTTAGACAAATTTATGGGCTCACAAGCCCAGTCTTTTAACACAACAGAAACAGGTACAACACCATCATTGGTTGGGCTGTAAACTTCAGCATCGTGATTTGGGCCGGATCTAAAAATTGATCCAACTCCAATTTTAATCTCACTTCATTTCTCTTCTTCGTTGTGTTCCATCCATGCACCTTCACCTAGCTTCCTTGGTCTTCGCCACACACCTTTTCCCAGATCTGAATCTAGTAGCTCAGGAAGCGGGGGTGGGTCGACCACTATTAGCGGTGGATGTGGCAGCACCTTCACCTACCCATCTCTCTTTAATGGTTGATGTTGTATCATTTCCTTTTTAAACTTGGCTTTCGTTGGCTCCCTCGCTACGGGTGGCAATTCTGGTAATGGTGTGTGGTTCTTCTCCCCCTATGACATTGTTGATTTTATTGTTTTCTTCTTTCTTTGCTTTCAACGGTTCTGTCTTTGCTTCCAAATACAGAACATAATTCAATATTTCGTGCTCTAATCCAGCGTCGTCGTCTTCCAAGCAAACCTCCGGTTGGAATTCCTTAAAGAATGCTTTTAAAAAGGTCCACCAACTAGTTTTTAAATTATGTTAAATTAGAAACAATATTGGTACTAGTTGTGAGCTTGACCGGTGAATGCCTTCAAAGCTTCTGAAGGCTTTTCATTGTCTGAAATTCCCTTTGCCTCAAAGTACAGCTCAACCTCAATCAATCAACCTCAAGCTTCTTCTTTCCCAGAAAATGTAGAAATCCTCATTCTACAAAGTTGATCTTCCATTTTTTTTGCTATTGGTGTTCAAAGCTCCTCCGATCGGAGAGCTATGATACCAATTGATACAACCCACTCCAGTAATAGTAAAATTACAAAAAAAAAGAGCAATGAATTCAGAGAAAGTCTCCAACCCTATGAAGCACCGATACTGATACGGCATTTTCGATACGTTCTCGATACGTGTATCCGATACGTTACTTCAAAAATACTA